TCATCAAAAGATGACGGCTGATTCGTGTGGTACTACAGCCGTTTGGCTTAAATTTGACTTTCAAGCTAACAGTCCATGAGACATCCTCTCTCGTTTCTAGTAAAATCGGGTTCAACTTTCGTCCATCATATGATAGACATCGTCAGAGCTAGAACTTATTTTTGTAAAAGTCTTGATCTAGCGTTAAAATGATGCTTTTATAAGAATGAGTTCCAGCTCTGACAATGTCTGTCACTTGATGGACAAAAGCTCAGCTCATTTTCTCCCGAAACTAGGCAGGAAGTCTCATGGAATTCGTCAACCTGAACGTCGTATTAAATACAAACGGCTGCAGATCAACGGGAATCAGCAGTGATCTTCTGTTTAGATCGACCTCCGAATCTCTTCTTCGGGCACTTTCATACGAGACGAAAGTCGCCCCAGCAATGTAATCTCAGGAGCTTCATCTTAATAAAATGAGTGAAAATGGTTGGTTGGGACAGAACGGACAGCTAAACACCTGCATTTTGTTCTTGATGTGGTCGTCGGGGCAGTTTTCGAAAAACGCAATGCCATAAGAGATACTGACATTTTCCACAGTTATGCCTTCCTTTCAGGAGTTTTGGGACCTTTCCAGATCACGATGATGCAAGGTTTTGTGCTCATGTATATGGGGGAGGGAGGCCTTCAGACCCATACATACATCGATAGATAGATAGTGCGAACAGGAAGAACCGCAGGAAGGAGATTAGCCAGGAATAGCCTCAGATCTTGTCAGGGTTATCATTCCTCCCATCAAGTGAACATTACATAAATACAACACATAATACCGCGTCTGCAAACATGCGTCAATATGCCCATATTTATCACCTTAACCAACCGAGGCAGGCTGAAAACCTTTACTTAGACACCAATAAGAAAAAAATACGGATAAACCAACTCATGTATCTTCTGACTGTTCGACCTGTATGAGTACATAGGGAGGCTTTGAATAAGCTAAATAGTTTTCTCGACCTTGTGGTCCTAGCTCTGAGTTGACATAAGTTGTCACCGCAACAAATGGAGATAGCTTTGAAGACTGTGCCAGCTTATTTTTTATTTATTAGTAGGTTTTCAAGAGTAGCAGTACATCACTTATATGAGGTGTATTCACCCGATTTTGTTTAAGGTGGTAGTTGAATTTTCCAATGACATGAGCAGATTTAACGTTTCCATTCATATCATTTTGTGAAAATTCAACTACCAATCCTCTTATCACCCTAAACCAGTCAAAGGACTGGTTCATTGGAATATGTCATTGTCTTCTGGCGACATTGACCTACGAATCCATTTTCAATACAATTTCATTCTAAATGAGACTGAGCTCGAAAACCACATCTCCCAATGGATGTTTGCTAAAAAGGATTGTGTATCACAGAAAGCTTGCCTGCCATGGAGAGTGGTTAAGATACCTACTGCATCACACTTATTCACAGCCATAAACTTGCTCCGGGAGGAATATGCTTTTAAAGACGAGAGATCTGCCTTAGAATTGTTTGGACTAAACCCTGTATCTCGTCCCACGGTAGTGATGCTTTATTGGAGCACCATCGTAGATCAACACAATTACTAGAACCCATATGGCTCGACCATGAGGCGATTATTACGAGTTCGCAGGTGCAAGCATAGTTCCTGGCCAAGATAAGCATGTAGAATTAAATGCACACTTGATTTTCACACCAACCTGGCATCTCTTCTACCACTTCTACATCAGATTAACTCTTAAAGGCCTTCGACTAATCCCAAGTAAACCATCTAGAAGTACCCACTCAGGTACAGGAGAGCCTACTTATGGCGCCAATCAAACGGATAGCCTAAGATGATAAATGCTAGTATATAAATAATATGCACCAAAAAGTTTTTATTCAGGAACAGAATAGACGGGCAAGATAACAAGGTATGATTAGGTAGGGCAAAATGACGAAAGATAACATAGTGAACACAGAAAAATCAACAAAGCGCAAACTAACTTGCCTTTTTCACCATAGATCGCATAAAGTAAATGACTAACGTTTGCATTTTCCCACAGTCATAAATAATCCCTACAATGTCATTGATTCCACTTACCTTTGCCCCACAAAAGGCATACTCATCCCGACAGGACTGAACAGCAGCTTCGGCCTGGCCTGAGTCCATCATTAAAGAAGAATATCATTTACACGACCATATTAAAACTAACGAGTCAAGTAAGCTCACCGGCTTATAGTGTTAGTTCGACGTAGTCTTCGCAACTTGGTAGAAGAGTCAGGGAGCCTATGTAGAAAGTACCTAGTAATGTGTCCTCTCCCATAGTATATGTTATGTCCAGCATCGGACCGTTGACTTGGTACATTGTCATAGTTGCAAAAACGAGGTCGATTCAATAGTATAAAGCTAAAAAAGACTGACATCATCCTGGTCTTCATATATACATGCTGTGAATACATACTCTAAATCTGTGTATTTTGGGGATAGTGATCATGGTTAATTTAAGTGATTGAAATCCAGAAGCATGTGTGTATGCTTGTGCGTGCTTATGTGCAAACGTAAAAACCGGTAGTGGTAGCTCAAAGGGCGAACAGAGAATAGGACATGTTCATAGTACTCAAGGCTTAACGACTCCTACATCAATATATTCAAGCTAACAAATAAGGATACCCTGCTCTGATAGTGTCAGTCACATTACGAGCATTTTCACAGAATCAAGATTGCATAGGGGACAGCTTCAGCAATAATATTCCAGTAAAGCTAGCCGGCAGATGGCTAAGAGAAATTCACCGTCGTGTTCTCGTAGGATCGACACAATTTCCACATCGTCCCATTGCTTCCTCAGAAGCCCTAAAGAGATGAGAACTGCCGTGTCTTGAAATTCGCATTCGCCCTGCAATACATTAGCACTCTAATGGGATTTGAAATTGCTTTATGTGGATAAAGTTGCAAACTTTTCTCATCACACAACAAGTATTGCCAGTACATCACCGAGAGTATGTGACTTTCCCTTAGGATCAAAGCAAGCTTGCAGTTCAATAGATAGAGGGTAGCTTGACCTGAAATGTGTTTCCAGTCTGAAATATTCCGTCTATGAAAGAGAACATGCTGTCACTTTGGGTAAAAAAGACAGCAAAGCGTCAGGCACCCTGATTTTAGTATATCTTAGATTGGCGGATTTAATCAAAGGAGATAGACATGGTAGAAGCCCTACAGGTCAGAATAGAAAGTCAATTATACTGTATGACACCATTTGGAAAATATGGATATCTTCATCGACTTTATCAAATGTCAATTCTTTTCTCCATTAATATTAAGTAGAAAGGCGGTTACAACTATTGCTAATAGCACCCACAAACGCGAAATTCCGGCCAAATGGATAAATTTGACTCATAAACCCAATCAATATTGTGTGAAAAATATATATCCAATTAGACACGTATAAAAACTGATTTTCGAAGGACCCCTTAATAGATTGATGCTATAACACCTTTTACTTCGTTTGAAGAGGTAAATAGAAGGGTTTCATAAGTTGGTTCCAACAGAAGCTGGAGAAGGGTTGCCGATGACCTTTTTCATCCTCGTATTTTGGCAAATTATCGTTAAGCATGGTGTCCTGCCCTGACGATGTCGGTCACAAGATTGACGAAAGTTCAGCAAGGATCCATCAGGGTTACGGGACAGTGAGCTGAGGACTTATTCGCACAAATCCACAGTCACAGCCCCAGGGCAACCCACTTCGACTTACGATGAGACCAAATTAGTAATCTCTTCTACTAGCTTCTTCAAACGAAATGAAAGTTACTCCAACATTTCTGACTATCTCACTGGCATATAATTAAATAAATACTGGTAATTAACTGGGTCCAAGATAGTGGAACTTGGCTCTTTAGTTTATGCAAAGTAGGCAAATATGGAGCCGTCCAAGGAATCGAAAAGATCGTTAATGGTTACGATTCAGGAAATTAAAATAGGGCAAGTTATTGAATTTGAAAAAGTCAAACATTCTATTGGTGTTTAATTTTGGTGATAAATAAAGAGATTTCGTAACAAGATTTTAAGTCAGACAAAGTATAAGAGGAAGAAAGAAGAGAAATCTGTTCAGATAGTTGGAAAAATATGAAAAACGAGAGAACAATATGATATCTACGTATCTCCAAACTGTATATATTTTCATAGTAACTCGTAATTAATCATTTTATTAAAAATTTATACAATGCTAATGGAGGCGAACCTGGTCCAAAAATGGTACCAATATCTAAACTTCATAATGCTAATAGAGGCACACATATGCGCGCATTTAAGTAAATACGTGCCAAAAGGGAAAGCGAAAAAAATACGAGACAGAAATATGAACAGAACCGCCCAGGAGAATGGACTTGTTTACAAGGAAACTTATATATGATCTCCATGATCTAAGAATTGAAAGCACCGAGGAAGTTTAGGTAAGATTGCAGGCAAGTGAATAAGAGCCAGGAGAGTACATAGGTGTGAAGCTAAAAAGTGATCGCAAGAACGAGAATAATCAGTCAACAGGATCGAAATCTTTAAGATAGTTTAAAAATATAATTTAAGTATGGGGAAATGTGGATAAAGGCAGTGTTAAATCTTCACAAAAAATGCCTTAGAGGGTACTGTACAGAATAAGTAGGATGAGAAAGATGATTTGTTAGGTGTGGTGAGAGCAGCACTAAATCATTAAATGTGGAAGACCAAAATCAGCGACCGAGTGCAAAAGTTAGAAGTAATTAATATCAACAAAGAAAGTCTAGAATTCGCTATCTAAAGAAATCAGCGTTTCAGACCCTGAAAGTGTAAACAAAGCAAACCCGAAGGCCAGGAAAAAATGAGCAATGGGTATAACAAGGGAATTAGAGAAAAGGACTACACAAGGAAAGAATAAGCAGCAGTTGATGTGGATGGAATGCAAAACAAAAGAAATAATATAATAGAAACAGGATAAAATATAAATAAGTGATTAGGGCATGGAAAAAATGATGGCAATATCCGACCCCTTACTTGCTCTCGGACAACTCAGGAAGTGAAGACAGGAGAAAGGCGGCGAGTAGAAGCAAGGGGAAAGAATAGCCGAAACGCAATTGTCCGAAGTAGGCTTTCAGGATACAAAGATTAAATAAGGACAAGAATAGGAGGATTGATAGGACAGAAAGAGAAAAGAAATACTAAAAAATGAAACAATAAGGTAGAGGCTAGATCTTAGCTGAGATAGCAATGGAAGTAATGAAAATGGCCATTTAAAAACAAAGTCCAAAGTACCGACATTAGACGAGGCCACTGTAGTGAAAAAAAACAGTATCATTAGAGAATATAAATGGCAATACGAGTGGCAAGAACATCGATAAACTTATAAGCGCTACTACAGAAACGAAAGTAGACATGGTAGTAATACAAAATTTGTTATTAATGATAGGGAGCTTGGTGCCAGTAGAAAAATATTAGTCGAAACTAAAGAAGTATAAATATTCACCATATAAATTAAGGAAGAATACTTATAAAATAATGGGAAAAGTAAAGTGAAAAAGACGACTCATTAGCCCATCAATCCTAGAACACCTACGTATTAGAGAAAGGCTGAATCTTTTTATGGAGCCTAAATAATAAGTTTTATGACAGCGAAAGAGCGCATAAGCCTAAGAAATATAAACAAAAACGTTCATATCGGTCTCATCTCGCTGCATGTAGCGATGTTCAATCAGCCACTCGATCACCTCCTTGATTAGACGCTTTGACGGCATAAACTGATAACGTAAAAGATCAACAAGCTCCTTGTAAAGCTCGTGATTGGAAAGACGTTTGCGCGCCTTCATGATCATGATGATTGCCTCCTGAGCACGCAGCTGACGAAGCTGGACGATTGCCATATTTTCCTCTTCGCTGGTCACCTCTTGTGTTAATTGAAGGCGGCCAATCAAATTGATACGTCGCCTAGGCTGGAACTTGCCGCTCCGCCTAAATTTGGTACACAATAAAAATTCTCATCTAAAGTAAGTCAGTTAAGCAATTAGTATATCGCAAAGTGTCCCTGAAAAGAGCTCCGTGAGAGAGAAAGCTTGCTGCCTCATAGCAGGTTACTTTGGTGGGCAATATAAATGCAGGTGACTAGAAAGACTGGAGATTGCAACAGATTATGAAGATACTGTGATTTAGAGTAGGATAGAAGGCACCCTGTAATTGGTCTTTCAAGTACAATAAAAATGAGCAGTAAAAATGTGTAGATATGAGAAAAGCATACAGATGGGTAGGCCCGGAAATCAGGCCAATAGTGCCCTATCTAACTTATGTATTTCCCTTATGAAGACCCATTTAAGTGATTGAACGTAGTAGCATTAAAAACCTGTTGCACACCACTATGGACACATAGGGGCTTTGCCACGGCAATGCCTCCTTCTTACAAGACCACCCATGTCCCTAGAATAAATAAATCTTCACATAGATAACATGGCTGGTAGAAATACGAAAAATGAATGAAAAATACCAACAATAGCCCATCAATAGTAAATTCAATGTTGAACTATATCAAGATTTTATGCTTTACCAAAGACCGGTACTGGAAAAATGAAATTCTTCGTTCGAAACATTTAAGAAAACTAGTGCTCATGCTATGTCTAAGTTAACGGATGGTGAATGCAAGAGAAACTATCCAGTGGATGTGGCGAAAAAACGTAGTTCCAATCTTTATTCTTAAACTTCTGGCACATTACAGGTAGCCAGAGCATAAGGCAACTTTCTAGCGCAGTTTAATGATAAATATAAAGGCCGAGAAGTTATGACCTCCGTTTCTCGTCGTATTCTCATTTCGCTACATATAAATGATTTGATTTCGTCTTCGCATCTTGATAGTGTTGTCAGGATGGCCTGATTTAGATGAATGCACCTTGTCAGAAGTACTCGATTATAGTAGCTATGATAATTCCCAGTTTCAAAGCGTGGAATCGTTGCATCTCAACTGCCAATCTTGGCACCAGTAACAAAGACAAGTTGTAGTTTGGCGGAGTGGCCGGACTCATTGACGATGCCGACTAAAACATCTAGGAATGTACCAAGCCCACGTTCCGATGCTATGAATGATCATAACTACTCTAGGAGAGGACCTTGGACAGGATGCCTTAATCTAGGTCCCCCTGACAACGCTACCAAGATGAAATAACAAAGTCAAACCAATTCTTTCTAGTTCTGAGATTGATATCTT